AGGCTTTTGCTTTGTTGTTACTGTGAGGCTTAAATAAAGCATCTTATAATTATAACAGTTTAACTTAAGCTTATAACAACTAAACTTGGAATACATACAAATCTCTGCAACTTAAAACATTCCATCCTACATTTTATGTTTTTGGTAATATAATTTACATATTTTTATATTGTGTATCCAATTACAAACAATTGTAGTTATAATTCCTTTTAATGCTTTAGTATTTTAACCTTTATGTGAGAATTAAAAGTGAGTTACCCACCACTATTACTACAGGGTGTCCTGTATATTGGAGTATTCTGAATTTGTCTGTATATTTACCTTTACCAGTGGATTTATTCTTTCATGTTAGTAATTTGTGTCCTTTAATTTCAGCTTGAAATGTTAACATTTCTTGTAAGGTCACTCATTGTGATCAACTCTTTCAGCTTTTGTTAGTCTGGAAAACTACCTCTTCAATTCTGAATTACACCTTTGTCAGGTAAGGCATTCTTGGTTGGCTGTTTTTTACTTCTTTCAGCCCTTTGAATATATCATCTTATTTTCTTCTTGCTTATAAGAGTTTGCTGAAAAATACACTTGTCTTGTAAGTGGTTCCCTTATACATAACAAGTTGCATTGCTCTAGCTTATTTTTAGATTCTCTTTTTGTTTTTTACTTTATTTAATTATAATGCGTCTCAGTGTGTGTCTCTTTAAATTCAACTTTTTGGTATTTTGGGGCTTCTTGGATCTGAATGTGTGTTTCTTTCCCTGGGTTAGAAAAATTTTCAACTATTACTTTTTTGAAAAGGCTTTCTGCCCCTTTATCTCTGTCTTTTCTTTCTGGAATCTCTATAATGTGTATATTCATCGATTTGATCATGTATCATAAGTCCCTTAAATATATTCAGTCTTTTTCATTCTGTTTTCTTGTTGTTTATCTGATTGAATTCCACTGTTCTGACTTCAAGTTAGCTGCTCTTTTCTCCCCCTTAATCTAGTCTGCTGTTAACTGCAATTTGGAGTTCAGTTATCATATTCTTCAACTTTGTGATTTCTGTATGGTACCTTTTTATATTTTCTATATCTTTGCTGAAATTCTCATTTTGTTTTTGTGTTGCTTTCCTAACCTCAGAAGCATCTTTGCAACTGTTTTTATGAACTCCCTTTTGGACAAACCAGGGCAGCCTAAGCTCTCAAGCCTGTGTGATTGCTCACGCTGCCTTATTTGAGCACCTAGATGCAGGTGATTATAAGCCTGACCCTTAGGCAGCAGCTTGAAAGTATGCAGTCAAACCCATTTAAGGAAAGATTGCAAACTGAGCATTTTGCTTGTTTCCTCAACACTGAGCCCTGGGGGGATAGCTGTGGCAAGTACTCTCATGCACTACCAGTTAAGAACTGCTTCACTGTTTGCTGCAGTCCTGTGGGGTTCGTGAATGCAAGCTCAGTTGGCTATCAGATTCAGTTGTCCCTTGGGCAGCATAAGCAGAAGATGGGGTGCCAGGCATGTGTACAGTCTCCTTCTAGAGACAGGTTGGCAGCCTGGTTTACAGTAAGAGGAATCTGGAGGACAGAAAGTGGCATACATGCTTACCTGCTCCCCCAGGCACCATGGAGGATCACAGCCACGCCCTACATGTGTGAAGCTAGACGCTTAAAGATGGACTTTCAGGCAGCAGGTTGCAAAGTATGGAGTCAATCCTCTTCCAGGAAAATACTGGAAGGTGGGCATTTTGCTTTCTCCCTCTGTTTTGAGGCCTGTTGGGATAGCCACATGGAGTGCTCATGCACCCATTTAGAATGGCTTCTATTTTCTATAGACCTGTGGATCTTGGGGATATATGTGCCCTTGACTTCAGAGGTAAACATTTTTTTGGGGGGCCGGGATCTGTCTCTTGAGTGACAGGGGTGCTAAATTTTCAGTCCAAATCTTTGCTCCTCATGGAGAAGCTGGGAATTAGGGATTCTTTAAAAAAATTTCTGACACTGTACCAGGGATAGTGTTTATGGAGAGAATGTGCCTCAGCCTTTCCTACGCATTTTGATGTGGGTATTTTCTTAGTTGCCTGAAGTATAAGAGTCACTCAGCTTCTTTTTGCATTTCTTTCATAGGAATTTCTCTGTGTGTGTATCTGTGGGGTGAAGGACATACAGGAGCGTTCTCTGTCTCCATCTTGATCCCTCCAAATAAATCAATCTTGATGAGTTGGTTAAGTAACAACTCCTTTAACTGAATATTGTAATTGTAATTTAGAAATATAATTATTTTCTTAACTTTACTTTAAAATGTTGCTACTGTATAGAAATATAGAGATTTTTGTATATTGACCTTATATTTTGTGACCCATTATTAGTTTTCAGGTTTTTTTTTTTTTAAATTAGATTTCTTAGGATTTTCTATATATAAAACTGTCTTTCTCAATCTGGATGCCTTTTATTTATTTTTCTTGCCTAACATCCCTTGCTTGAACCTTTAGTTCAATGTTCAGTAAAATGAGGAGAGGGACATCGTTGTCTTGTTAGTAATCTTTGGGGAAAATCACTCAGTCTTTCAATATTAAATATAATGTTAATACAATCTTTGTTTTGGTACTTAATTGATTTGACATTTGGGAATCTTATGGGCATAACTCTCAAGAAATAAACTGTTGATTGGCCCAATGAAACAAAAATCATTCTGCTTTTGAAAGTCAGTTTCTTAAGGATAAATGAATAAGTCAATAGAATCCATATTAATAAACTGTATTGTAATGTAGATATGTACAAATTACTGGCCTAGTCATGTGTTACAATGATACCAACTACGTATGGTAAAAGCTTGGCTATTTTTAGTCAGAGTGATAATTTATATTACCCAATACAAGCAAAATATTTTTCTACTCCATATGCTGTTAATTAATCATTTTATAGAAAACTTACATATGCTACCATCTAGTAGGGCTGTTTAAGACAGTCTGTGATACCCATTAGGATGTTATAGTTATTAATTCTTTCCATTTTGTATTGGTTTGTCAATGTCAGAAATTTATTTCTGGCATAACAATGTATAACATGTCAATTTTTTTTTCCTGGATTCCATTGTTTGGAAAGAATATATGTCAATACCTGCTATTTGCCAGAATCTCCTTATATAATGTCATTGTGAATTCAGACAGTTCATAAGCATGAGACTTTCTTTTTGTTCTAATAGTGATTAATACTAGAATATACTAGTTTTAAGATTTACATATATTTGAATTTTTATAAATTTAATATTCAGACTCTGGGCCTTCTTAAAAATAATGAAAAGCATTAGTCAAAGTTTCTCAATATCTTCATGATAATCCCTTAAGTAGCATAATTATACTTTATTCAAGAAACACAATACAGAAATTGTTTACAGTCTATTGCTGCATTTTAATATCTCAATTCCATAATGAAACTGAGGTCCCTAACCACAGAAAATTCCTGTCTCAATATTCGATGATGAAGATAGTGGACACAATGCAATCTCTTTGCAGTCATTGTTTCTTTTTCCTTCTTCAAGGAAAATATCCTCACCAAAAAAATTGGTGGGAAAGGTGAAAAAGAAGAAAATGTTCTGAACTTTTTAAAGATATACCACTTTTGAGATCAAGCTCTTGGGGCAGATGGTATTCTAATAACCCAAGGAGAATATCCCCCGCATGGCTAGTTCATTCCCTATGTGGCAGAGTTAAGAAACACCAAGTGAGACTTGCCAAGAATTTAAAAAGACTTGCCTTAGGTCATTAGGATTTTTGACTCATGCATCTATCTGATTCAATAACCAACTACATTTAATATGAGAAAAACTGACATAATTTTAAACAATTTGAATTACAATACAAAACTTTCTTAAGTAGCCATTTTGATCTTGTTTTTCTTAAAATTAGAGAACATGGTTTGCCAGTTTCCAGTAATATCTTAGATATAGCTCGTAGCATTGTTTACTGACACATTTCCTTGGACAATGGAAAGGAAGGAGAAAATAAACAAATGGTCCTGTGACCTGTGGCTAGGTGCATCTGGCTGTACCGGCAGCTCTGTCCTGAGCTTTGGGTTGAGTATGCACCAACTGAGGGCTCTCTCTTGGGCCAGGGATGGAGGACATGCTGGATTGAAGCTTGTACTGAGACTGGGGACAGGGTGTGGCAGGGGTACCCCTGGTTTGCACTCACAGCTGGAGACCTGAAGTGTGGGATCCTGGGATGCTGGGTCTGGGCTCCAGTGAGGAGGTACAGTTTGGGAGGTCTCTCTGGCATGCACTCACTGCAGATGTCTGGGAGCCTATGGTGTGGGCATCATGCTACGCATTGCGAAGGCATGGTGGTGGTCCCACACGGGTTATGGCTAGCAAGCAGCTGGCCTGCATAGGTACACGGCAGTGTCAGAGGTCAGTCTGGGGATTGATGTTGCTGTGATCCTGGCCTCTGCTGCTCCCCGCTTCAGGATGGTGTGGGTTCTGCACTGAAGCTGGGCAGGCCCGGGAGTGCCTGCAGTGGTAGCAGGGTCTCCCCATCTAGGAGAGCAAGGTCTGCCAGTTCTGGGGACTCCTGTGTTACCTAACTGTCCCTCACTCACCCACATACACACCACACATGTCCACATACTTTCTCTCTCCTGCTGTTAATTAATATTTCTCCTCATTAATTTCCATGTTGATATCTGGTAATCTTTATTCATAGAGTGGCATTTATCATCTCTACAGAGAAAAGGCCATTATTTAATGTGGACTGATATCATAGTAAAGCAAACACTGTAATTAGCTTTAAAGGTCATATTGGTAGACATCAAGCTATTCTGCATCAACTACATTGAATTCTACATTAGAAATATAATGTTCTTTGAAATAAAAATAGAATCCTATGTAACAAAAACTTAGTAAGTAATATAGTAACAATTCTTCAACTGATTAGTAAGTAATAATTGCAATCATTTATTGGAACACTATTTTGAGTTGTAGTTGAAATAATCTTGAGAAATTTTTAGGAAAAATAGAAAATAAAGTGTTCTTACCAAGTTTGCGATGATATAATGGTAGCCTTTAACATGCTTTCCAACACTCACAATCTGTGAAGATATAAGGAAATGAGAAACCAATTTAATTTTACTGAATTATATTTTTAACAGTGGAATTTTAACCTTTTAGCATAATTCCTTATAAAAGCTGATGAGAAACAACATTTTTCTTATGAGAGTGTATTATCAAAATGAATAGTTTACATATCTATATTTATAAAAGGCTAAGTGACTGGCCATCAGTCCATCCATCTGGCTAGCTGACTAGCCAGTACATATGATGTGTATTGGCAATTTAAAAATAAACATTGACTAGCGCATGCGTGATACATATAAAGCTCTTGCTTGTTTTGACCTGTCATGGTTGATCATGAATTTGGTTGTTTTTGTTGACATTCTGAAGCTGAAAGAAAGTGGAGATTTTCACACTTATTTGAATAACTTCATCGATTCAACGAATGATGCCAAAAAGGAAAATTTTCCCATAGAATTTTTTAATAGTATTACTCCTTTGGGAATGCCTTGTCATAAATTAAAATTGAAAGTATATGTAATCATTGTGCTACTGAGAAATCTTAATAGTAAATGGGGTCTTTGTAATGGTACTAGATTTATTATCAAAAGATTGCTACCTCACATAATTGAAGCTGAAGTATTAACAGGATCTGTGGAAGGAGAGGTTGTTCTGATTCCAAGAATTGATTTGTCCCCATCGGACACTGGCCTCCCATGTAAATTAATTCAAAGACAGTTTCCCGTGATGCCAGCATTTGTGATGACTATTACTAAATCACAAGGACAAATTCTAGACGGAGTAGGAATATTCCTATTTAAACCTATTTTCGGACATGGTCACTTATATGTTTCTTTCTCTTGAGTTTGAAGAGCGTGTGATGTTAGTTAAAATTTAAATATTGCATCACAAGGGAAATTAGTGAAACACTCTGAAAGTGTTTTTACTCTGAATGTGGTATACAGGGAGATACTAGATAAATTTATTCAATTTATCAGTCATTGTTTTTATCAATGTTGTTTTTATATCATATTTTTGTTGTTTTATATCATGTTTTTGTTGTTTTTATATCATGTCTTTGTTGTTGTTATACCATGTTGCTATCATTTATTTATCAATTTATATAGTATTTTCATATACATTTTAGTAATTTTTTTTCATCTCTGACACTTCTATTATAGAGTTAAGGGCATATAGTGATATTAAATTTTTCTCCTAATTAATTTCCTTTCAATGTGCACAAATTTATGCACCAGGCCACTAGTATTTCTATAAATATATACTAACATAAGAAGCTTAAAATGATTTTGTTCCAAAAATTTTAGATGTACTTAATTTACTGATAACTTACAGAAATGCACATTAAATTGTTAGATGTCTTCAACTGGTAAGAATCATTTTCTGAGTAGGTTGGAGAAAACAATATATTTCTAAGGACAATTTCTGTTTTCAGATACCTCTAATATCACATAACAGTTAATTCTCACTTGCATATGGGTATAGCAGTATCTATTTATCTATTATCTATCTACCTACCTATCTATCTATCTATCTATCTATCTATCTATCTATCTATAATCTATCTATCTATCATCTATCTATCGTCTGTCTATTTATAAAAGCCTAAGTGACTGTTACAACCAGTTGACTAGTCATTGTGATGTGCACTGACCACCAAGGGACAGACACCCAATGCAATAGCTTCCCTAGGTGATCAATGTGCTCTATAGCCAACTTCCTATGGCTGGCCAGCCTCCTGTGGTCCCTCCCCATGGCCAGCCACCCCGATGGGCCCCAATCTCTGGCCAGGCCCAGTGACCCCACTTGTGCATGAATTTGTGCACTGGGCCTCTAGTTTTATTATAATAAAGAAAATAAGGAGACGACATCATCAAGGTACTTTCTTTCTCCTAGATTCATTTTTTTAATAAGAATGTTTTCTTTTAAGAAAGTTTTAGGAAATTAGTATCACAGATATTTTTAAGAAAAATAAATAAGATTTTTTTTAAAGAAGTACAACTGAATTTCTGCACTAAAAATTAAAACTCTTTATTTTAAAACTGAACAATTCCTTCCAGAGAAAATCTAATGACAGTTAATAGTGAGCAATTTTGTAATCTCATTGGTCACCTCAAATGTAACAACACAATATAAGATTTTCATGAACTTTCATCATAAAAAAAAGTTGTCTTTAGCATTTTATTATCCTCTAAAAATATTTCCTTGTGAATTAGTGACTTGTGTATAAAATACAGGAAAACCCTATTCAAATTCTAGGAATTGTGCTGGGAAACAGTTTTGTGCACATGGCTATCAGTGAAATGGGATCACTGCTTATTTCATCTTTTCTTTTGGCTACATCTAAGACCTCTTCTTTGTCTTTAAGTTTCTGTATTTTCACTACAATGAGTTTAAATTTTTACTTTTTAATTTTTGCTTATATTGTTCAAAATTTGTAGTGCTTCCTGACTATGAGGATTGCCCTTCAACAATTCTGGAAATTTCTCAACCAATAGCCCTTAAAATTCCTTCAAATATTTTTTTGTGGGTGTTTGCTTCTAATAGATATTGCAATGTTGGTATTACTGGCCTAGGGCCACTTTTTAAAAATAATGTTTTTTTATTGATTTGAGAGAGAGAATGGAAGGGGAATGGAGACAGAAAGAAACATTGATGTGAGAGAGAAGCATCAATCGGTTGCCTACTTCATGCTCCCTGACCAAGGATGGAACCTGCAACCTGAGCATGTGCTCTGACTGGGAATGAAACTGGTGGCCTTTCAGTGCATGGCATAACGTTCGACCAACTGAACCATATCAGTCAGGAAAGTAGGGCCACTTTTATAATAATTTATTCATTTCTATTAGTGTGTATAAATTATAAATACCAGCTGTCTGAAGAAGACTGTGATGTCAAATTCTTATAAGATATATATTCCTCAACAAACTAAGCCCAGGCCAAGATAGAAAACACTTAGTTGACTCCTTGTATAGATAATAGATTTTCTTCTGTTCTTTTATTGGGGTGTTCCCTTCAATAGTCTGGCTTACTATGTGATCTTAGGTATAATTTATTGCCTTGACTGAGTCCAAAGTTCCTGTTCTTGGGTGAACATTAAATTCCCAGTCAGGTTACCCAATCTAGCAACTTCCTTTAGTCACTTCATCTTTTATTCTTGGCCCCTGAAGGTTTTCTTTACTTTCCTGGAAGCTCAGCTATGCATTTGAAATGCTTTACATAGCATTTTTACATGTTTTGTATGTCAGATTTATCTTGTCCACAGTTTACCTAAAACAAATTTCCCTTGATAATCTTACCATAAAGATGAAGACAAGCAATAAGTAGATGAGATTATAAAAAAAATTCAGTAAAAACAAACAAACAAACAAACAAAAAATCCCAGCTTAATTAGTCATTATAATGGGTAAACCTAACCTGAGTGATTTATCATAGGCAGAATAGCCTAAAGCTTTCTTATTTGGGGGGCATCTGAGATACATACAGCTTATGCAAAAGACAATTATCAAGAAACATGATGGTTAGTACTCACCTGGGAAACTGTATACCATTCAGTTTACTAGAAATTACTACTATCTGACATGAGCAGGGATTATTGCCACTGGGCAACCCATAAATTATCTCTTACTGAGTCATCATAACTTTGTTGTGGCTATTACAGCCTTTTTGCACGCTCTAAGTGCCCATGCAAATCCTGTCTTTTCTTTCTCAACATATTTAGCTTATGATTTCTGTGTGGCCTCAGTCAATATATTATCTCTGCTTTCTTTTAAATTCACTTTAAACTGTAATACTTATAAATGTGAAACCAGTGGAAATTCTGCACTGGATATCTTTGTAAAGAAATCATTAACAGTTCTAGATTGCCTGGCAAAGAACTATAATAAATTAAACATTATGTAATACATTTTCAAGGGATGAGGACTTAGAGAAACCACAAAGAACTGAAGGTGACAAGAATCCTGGAAGCAAAGGCCTTATAGAGCTTGGTATGCATTAACATTCTGGGAAATGAGGGCCCCGGGGAGCAGTAATCTGCAGATTTATTTTCCTGGCTGGCGATGCTAGAAAGAATATCATTTCTGCTGATCTAGATCCAGGCTGAGAAGAAAACTGTGCTGCACACAGTGTTTCAAAGACCTCATTGCTTGAACACTCACCACCCTTACCTGGGGTGGTCATGGTTTAGTGCAAGATCTTGGTCCTTCTGCAACTATCCGCCACTTGATGAAAGTTACTTTGTTTAAAAAAAATCCAATTTATACTCCATAGTAAAGAATCCTATACATAGAATGTCAATTATTTAAGTAAAAAAAAAAAATGACTGGGTAAAATTGACAATGTCATTAGTGGTATTTTACATCTCTCATCATCTCAACCAAAGTGAAGACTATTTTATGTAAAAAAAAAAAATAAATAAATCTGAGTGACTTCAATTTGGATGTAGTCCAAACCTGTGTCTCTGATGTTATTCTTTTGAAGAGGGAAAAGAAACAGCTTGAGGTGAATGACATGAATATAAAACAGCACTATCTTCATTCAAGTATTTTGGCTGTGTTGTCAAGGGAAAACAATGCCTAGGGTGATGACTGGCTGCAAAAAATTAATTATATCCTTTTATAAAGACAGAAAAATGTAGGAGTAAAAGATCTGCATTTTTATCATTTATCTTCTTAAAAAAAGAAACTGTTTGAAACTAGACAAAGAATAATGATTGAATGTCTGGAGAAGAGTGCTAAATTAAGATGGGTTTAGAAGGATATATAAGTTATTCTGATCATATGTTTTCTAAAGAACCCATGTTTACAAGAATAAACCACTTAGGAAAAGTAATTAATTGATTCCTTTACTTACTGTTTCTTGTTTGGTTTTTAGGAAATAGACATGGTGTTGGATAGACTTAGTTCTAAAATTAGGCTTATGTACTGTACATCATTAAGGTACTGCAATTGTTTTATTAACAAACTAGAGGCCCGATGCACAAAATTTGTGCAAGAGTAGGCCTTCCTTCCCCTGGCTG